TTTCCATTGAGTTAATGAAATCACAGGTTTCGCTGTAATTTCCACAAATTAAAAAAATCCCATCTTTATCTCTTCTGTTTTAATTTCCCTGACAGTGGACTCTAAGAACTCATATCAACTTGCTCTCTCTTTTCCAGGATATATTTTCGTGATCCATTCTGCTCCATTTTGTCCAGGCTTATCGGTGTATGGGTCAAGTTGTGGTAACATTGCATGCGGTTTACAGAAAATAACTTTGTGAAGTAGCTTGCATTTGGCAAATGGCATGACGATGCCTTCTTTATCGAGGATAATCTGCCTGAACGTAGCTTTGCTGGCAAGTTCATCCCCTTAGAGCTTACATCGATGTCCCTGTGGCCAGGAGCGGCATGTGTCGTCTTCAAGTCAGCAATGCAGACCAAAGACTGTGGAATTTCATACCACACTTCGATCGCCATTTCCTACATATTTTAATTTAATACACATTTATATAACATCCTCATATTCATTCTTCTTTACTGTGTCTTAAATCTACAACCGAAATAAATTACCGCAAACCGTAAAATTGAAAACCACCTTTCGCCGCAAAACACAAAAGTTCAAATGTCACTGCACTCTTTCTCTTATCGATCAGTTTGGAAGCCAAAATAACAGTGCTTTAAAATACAGTTATCAAAAAAAATTGCACCTGCTAAATATATATGTACATATATGATACGAGAAACGCACCAAAAAACAAGAAAACAAAACAAAAAAGTAAAAAAAAAGGAAAAAAAAATGCATGAAATTGGTAAAAGACTTCAAAACCCGAAGCAAAAAAAACAAAAAAGCCAATCAATAAAAAAACGTGATGAAGACAGATCACCATTGATGTGAGTAAATTGAGACGAACAAGGAGAAAACAAACAGCGCAATTTCAGAGCAGAGAAAAGAAAACCAACAGGAAGCTAAGATATAAAGAAATATATATATGTAATGAGCAAAAAAAAAAAAATTAATTAATAATTAAAATGAGATAAAATAAAATAAAGTAAAATAAAAACAAAATGAGACATGAAATGAAATGATATAAAAAATTTGATATAAAGAACTATAAAATAAAAGTAATATGAAAGAAATCAATATATAATATGAAATGAAATGAAATAAAATAAAATAAATTAAAATAAAATGAAATAAAACAAAGTAAAACAATATAAAGTAAAATACAATAAAATACCGTAAAATACCATAAAATAAAATAAAAAAGGATATAAAACAAAGTAAAAAAATGAATTCACATAAAATAAAATCGAGGAACACTCGGTAGATATACCGGGCAGGTGGGAAGTAAAATACCACTCGAGGACCAAAATTGGAAATCAAATTCGATCGCGTTTGTCTCAGAGTGAGCAGTGTGAGAAGCGGCATAAAATGAAACCATTAAAATAAATTAGAAGAATAGATTAAGCGTCGGGTAACTTATATAATCATTCCAATCATACTTTTGTGGAAGATCCCCAGAATGACCGCACTCTAGACATTAACAAGAACTCTGGGAAAAATAGATGCAATAAAGGAAAATAAAATAAAACAAAATTAAACACAAAAATATGCGATTAAATAAAATAAAATAACATAAAAATATTAAGTAAATAAAAATAAAAGGAATATAAAATAAAATAAAATAAAATGAAATAAAATAAAACAAAGGAAAATAAAATAAAAAAAGTAAAATAAAATAAAATAAAATAAACAAAATATTAAAATGAAATAAAAATAACATAAAACAAAACAAAGAAAAAATAAAATCAAATAAAGTCAAATGAAATAAAATATTTTTTATATTAAGTTTTTTAAGTGAGCTAAAGGTCGGAAGGCAAGGGTTCAAATCACCGGGCGACCAACATCCGAAAGTTAAAGAAAATAAATTTAAATAAAAAATAAAGGTAAATTTTGAAATTGCGGTCGCCCTCTTCAAGGAATGTCCCTCCGAGTGTATTTCGGACAGTAAGCTCTTCGTAAAAAACCACCAGTCGCTCGGAGGCGGCTTAGTATGAACAGTAGGTCCCTCAATTTTGTTGGAAAAAAGACGCAAAACCACAAATTGGAGGAGGAACTCGACGTAAAATCGCTTAAGCGGTAACAAAGTGCTAATTATATTATAATTAAGGCCTGGCTTGTTTGCAGCTGACAGCTGTTTCAGAGACCACCACATCTCCTCATCAGACTTCTTATGGCAGGGATCGAACTAACGGATCCTGGCTTAATAGGCGATTGTTCTACCACCGCGCCAACATCAGCCATGCAATTCATTGTCATTAGAAGTCTGATGAGAAGATGTGGTGGTCTCCGAAACAGCTGCCACTTCTACATTTTTCTTGGTTGTATAAAAAAGAAACGTTGAATTCATACAAACCAACCAGGCTTTTAGCTCACTTAAAAAACGTATATCAAAAAAGTTAATAGTATTACCGCAAAAACAATTATATAATATATAAACAACAATTATACAAATATAAATAAAATATAAGATGGGAAATAAATTAATTTAAATTGAATTAAAACAATTAAATAAAAAAAACCGTTAATATGAAACAAAGTTCAAAAAAAAAGGAAAATTAAACAAAGTAGAATGTAATAAACCAAAAAAATTAAAATTAAATTAAATTATATTTAACAAAATAAAAAAATACAAAATAAAAATCATAGCACAAGAAAGAAAATTAATTATTAAAGAAAAAAAAAATGTGTTATTGTAATATTAAACAACCTTTATGTGAAGAAGTACATTGAAACATTTATTAAAACCTTCAGCTATGTAACAACAACGAAAACAAAGGCATCAATCGAAGGCTAAAAAAATTATAATCACAAAAAGTTAAAACAAATACAAAAAATAAGGAAAATAAAAACCAAAAAAAAGTGAAACTATAACACAAAGTTAACAATGAAGCCAGTAATAATAACAGGAAGGCCGAAACAGCAAAAAAGGAATAAATATTATATGTATGACTACAACAATAATAGCCAACGAGCAGATGTTCACAAGTTGCAAGCAAATACAGGCACATACTCAGATACTCGTACACACAAACACAAACATACACGTATGCATAAGCACCACTATAGGAACACAATTCGCTTCATGGCGGTACAATAACAAAAAATCAGAAAACCAGAAAACCAGAAAATACTTTAGATACAAACATGCATACATACATATGCATATAGAATATACATATATGTATGTATATAGCAACAGACTTCCATACTAACGTTTCAGCAGCATGGCATGACATCGAAGGCAAATAAAGTCGACTTAAATGTTTATTTTGAAGTAAATGTGTGTGTTCATTAGGGATGTAACGAGCGGTCGAAACCTTGCGATATTCGGATTTTCCTTTTTGTCCACTTGGAGAGATTTCGTAGTGATGTTGAGCCCTTGCGTTGAAATTATAAAAGAGGACTTTTCCTTTGCGCTCATGGCAGAAATCTTTGGTCTAATCATCCGCTCAGTGAATTTAGCTTTGACTGATTTCTTGGCTCTGCGGCAGAAAGAGCTTCATGGCTGCCCATAATGAAAACTTAAGGACTTAATTTTCGATCGATATAATTCAGTCTCGCGCAGTCACTAATGTTTCTTTGGCATTAGTGATCAAATCAACCAAATACATACAGACTGAAAGAATAGAGAACAAGAGACAGACATTCAAGAGTTGTCCAACCGACAGGGCTCACCAATTAACATACATACGTGCATGTACATGCGCGGAGTTTCAGGCACAATTTTATGACAAACAAGACGAAGAAAAAACGAATTCGTACGAATTAAAAAAGTGGCGCAAAATGACTACAAAACTAACAACAGCAACAAGACAAAGCGCTATACCCAGACACCAACAACTTCCGAAGTAACGGCCATACAACTCGAACGAACCGCCGGATCCAGTGGAGCCACAACACACACACATATGACAGAGAGCACAAAGGAAGACAAATATTTCACCATTAATTTTGCGCACACAGCCGTGCATAGTTTTTGCCTCATTGGCAAATCCTTTGTTTTTACGATATTTACTGGTTGCCGTCTTTGTTGTTGTTACAGGCGTGAAAAATTGTGCGGAGTTTTAAGCAAAACACAGCTGTCGGTTGACCGATTCATTCATATAAAAGTGTCGGCGCTACGCATGCGTAAAAACCGGCTCGCAAGCCGCAGTAGGCAGACCTCGTTTGGTCTTAGTCTCTGAGTTCCGATTAAGCACCGGCAACAATTGGAGCGCAATTTTTTGTTTTTAAAATACCTTCATATATGTGTACGAGTATATGTATATGTTTGTACGTACAAATGGGATCGCGTTCAACAATTTGCACTTTGTCTGTTCATCTTTTTGCATCTATACATGTTGCAGCTGTCGTTGCGACTTTACACCTCGCTGCAAGTACCAACCTGCCCGCCTTGCCTGGGCTGGCTTTGATTTGAAGCTCAAGCAATCGCTCGTGTGTGTGTGACCTCTTGAATCAATGAACAATGACATTTATTATTTTGTTTAATTTATTTTCTATTTCGTTTTGTTTTATTTAATAAATATTAATTTGACTTTATTTGATTTAAAGTTTTTGTTTCTTTATCTAGTTTTATTCTGAATTCTCATTTGGCTCTCTTTTGTTTTATTTAATCTTGTTTTATTATTGCTTTTAATTATTGTACTAATTTTTGTTGATTTTATTTAAGCTTTAATTTTACTTTTTAACATTTATTTTGCTATATCTAATTTTAATAAGAATAAAAAAGTAATTTTCTGTTGCTCTTTCAATTAAATTTATTTTATTTCATTTCTTTTTGATTTCCTTCTTTTGTTCTTGAGGAGCTCTAAATGTTAAGATCTGGGGTATTCTTTAAAGAATTACTATTTTATATTTTCTTACTCCGCTTTTTTATGTTTCAATCACTTCGTGGCAATATTATATGTATGTATGTATATATATTTATATATTGATTTTCAACTGAAAAATATAATTAAACGTTTCAAATTTCTTACCTTTTTCTCCGTGAGCTTTTCGCAGCGACGCTGCTTGCAGATTTGATGCGATTTGTCGTTGCGACAAGGCGCACACTCGCCGCAGTTGTCCTTGCGCTGACAGCCGATACATTCGCCGCAGCGTTTGCGTTTCTTCTTCGACTGAAAGACAGAAGTCTAAATTTAGGTTTTAAGCAAAACTAGTTCCAACGTCAAATTAATGGGTTTCTTGCACTAAACAAAACACTCCGAAACTTACCTGCTTTTCGCCATTCGTGTCGTTACTATCGCCCATGCCTAGTGCACTTAGTGGACTCTTGAAGTTGGCTGTGCTCGAGACCGCATCCACTTGGCCGGGATTGCTGGGATCCACATCCATAGCACTTGCCTCAGACTCGGCGCTGGACTCGAGCGAATTCGCCCGATTTTTCCGCCGTTCTTTTTTACGTGCATCCACTCGAGCTATTGGTGAGTTCAGCACTTTTTCCACTTTGATCTGAGCGGTCGTCGTGGATGGCGTTGGCGTATGTGGTTGTGTTGTATGCGGTGTGTGTGGGCCGCCGGTACTGCCGGAACCGCCACCACCCCCGGAGTGGGTAGAGTGGGGCGTGTGATAACCCGACACAGCGCCATTTGATGTATCCATCAATGTGACACCTCCACTACCGTCTATGTACGAGGGCGTGGTTGGGGTATGCATGCCCATTGGTGTAAGGTTGGTACTAGCTGAATTGAGCGATGTCGATGAGCCGAGTGTGAGACCACCAACATTGTTTCCATTATTGAGATCAAATGTTTGCGTAACATCTTTCTTGTCACCGAGTGTTGCACTTAGGCCACCACCTAAACAGGCTAAGCCTCCGCCAAGGGAGTGCTGATTTGGTATCGATGCGAGTGCGCCGGGTGGCGGTGGAGTAGCATATGTAGGTGTGAGTGTTTGATACAAAGGCAAATGATGACGACCATCATCCATAGAGCCACCGCTTGCACCATAACCACCCATAGTGGCGGTGTTCGTGGGCATGAGTGGTGCATATGCGGAACTGCTGCGATGATGTCCTGTGCTTAAATGATGAAATGCATTTGGCGGCGGTGGTGGTGGCGCGGCTAGGGGTGCAAATGAAGATGTGGCTGCTGCCGCCGCGGCCGCTGTAGCCACCGATGGTGGTGTAATACTCGCCTGCAAACTGCTCAGTTGCGTTAGTGGCGAGCCTACGCTGACCATACCCGGCGAACTGACCGATATGCTGGCAGGCGACATGGCAACCGTTTGTAGGGAGGACATCGACGGCGGTAAGATGGACGACGTAGCCATGGGCGTAATGCCGTCGGGCATAAGTGGGTCGTTGTAGCCGTGAAATTGACTTTGAAAAGAGGGCAACTTGGAGAAGGGCTCAAAGCCCCCTCCACCACCGCTAAGGTTACCGAAGCCATTGCCATTACCGCTGCCGTTGCCGATTCCGATGCCGATTCCGCCACCCTTCAATGTATTGCTGTGACTATGTTGGTCCTTGGTCTCCATTTCCCAAGGACGTGTGTAATTATTGTTGCTATTGCTGTTGTTGTTATTGTTGGCGGCGGCGCTGCTGCTATTACCGCTGCTGCTGCCGCTGCCGCTACCGTTATGCGCGTTGCCGTTCGACTGTGTGCTTACAGTCGATTGCTGCTGCTGTTGCTGGTGTTGCTGTTGATCATTGTTGTTGCTGTGTTGTCGGTTCTGGGGCTTCTCGGCGCCGTTGCTGCTGTGCTTCTGCTGCACCTCACCGTTGCTGCTTCTGCTGGTCGCCTTGTCGCTTCCCCCGCTCTCACTATTGCCTGTCGACAAAGGCTCCTGAGTAGCGGATCGAGCCTGAGCAGATTCACGTGCGGTATGTTCGCGCTGTTGTAATTGTTGTTGTTGGTGCTGTAGAAATTGTGTCGGTTGTATTGGTTGGGTTGATGACAAGTGTTGCAAATGTTGCTGCTGCTGCTGCTGTTGTTGTTGTTGGCGTGCATAATAATCCCAATGTGGTTGGTGTTCGGCAACAAGCTGCTGCTGCTGCTGCTGTTGCTGCTGTTGATGATATAGGTATTGTTGTTGTTGGTGTTGCTGCAATTGCTGCTGCTGCTGCACCAACGTATGTGACAATTGTGGATGTGCTGATGGCGGCAAATATGCGTGCGCGTAGTGTTGTTGTTGTATACTGTATTGACCTAAATGACCAAAATGACCGCTAGATGTAGCTGCCGCCGCCGCCGCCGCCGCCGCTGCTGTTGTTGAAGTTGTTGTTGTTAGCGCTTGTGTTGTTGCTGACGTTTCTACTGTGCCGCCGCTGGTCTGCGCAATTATTGAAGACGCCATTTAAGTCCACCACTCGGCATGGCGGGAGCCGTTGTTACGCTGCCTCGCGTTGAGCCGCCGTTGAAGTGAGTTATGGATGCGTTCAAGTGACGGTGCGTTCGTCCTTGGCGATGTTTCTGTATATTTGTGTGTATGTATGTATGTGTGTGTGTGTGTATGTGTGGGTATAAAAAGTTCACTATAGAGATTTTCTTCTACACTCCGCGCTATTACACACAATTAAGTTTAATAAGTCTAAGAAGCACACAACTCGATTTTCAGTTTTTCGAAGAAAACATATATATTTTTTCGGTTTTGATTTCTTTCTTACATTAATTACTGTTGTAAGAGTTGCTTAACAACTGTTTTTGTGATATCTTTATGCAAGGTATTCTGTATTTTCTTTTCTTTTTTTTTTGTAATATATTTTGTACACTGTTATTTGTGCTGCTTGTTGTTTTTGTTAATGTAAATTTTTTTTCAAAAGTTTTTTTTTTATTTTAATCGATATTAGAATTATTTTTCGGGGAAGTATTTGTGAAAATTATTTTGTAACTTTTTTGTTGTTGTTGTTTTGATTACTATTTTGTACACTTGAAATTTCGATTTGAGGTAGTTAATCCTTTTTGTTTTGCTTAAATATTTGTTGTTGTAAGTTTTCAAAAAAACTGTTTGAACTACGCGTAGTTTTGATTTTTGTTTTTGTAATTTTCTCTACTATTTTTGTTTTACTAAACAATTTGAACTTTTGCTCACTGGCTGGGTTGCAGTTTTGTGGTTTTAAATATTTTTAATTAAATTTCTTTTTTTTTTTTGGTATATGTGTGTGCTTATGCATATATGTATATGTATGTAAGTAAGTATGAATTTTAACTACCAACCGTTATTTAAGTGATTATATAGCGGGGTGTTTTTGCTTTTGTTTCTGATTTTGTTTTTTTTTTTTTTTGTGTTTGTATTCCAAGCACTAACGGGAGTCGCTACGTTTGAATATTATTTTTTACCGTTATTTAATTAGTTTAATGAAAATTGAATTACCACTAATTGTTTTATTGTAAATTTAAATTTTTGTTTTTGCTGTTGCTATTTTTAATATTTGTACAATTTGTTCGTGATTGATTTTAAATGTGAACTTTGTTGTTTTGTTGTAGTTTTTTATTTTTTTTTTATTTTTAATTGATATTTCGTTAATATATTGCTATTTGTGTTTTTTTTTGTATTTGTTGTTAATTGCAGTTTTTTTTATTAATATTTAAAAAGTGCGACAAAAACTCGAAAACTCGAAAATCTTTATTCGTTTGTAAGTATGTAACTATTTGTTTGGTAATTCTTATTCGGTTGTTTGTATGTATGTATTTGTATGTGTGCGCAAAAGTCTATATGCGCGCCTTTGTACTTTGAAGATTTGTTAGATATTTGCTTATATGGTTTATTGATTTAAAAATATTCCTTTCTGTTTTGTTGTTGTTTATTTCGGTTGCGTTTAAGGGCAAGTTTAATTGGATTTTTACAGTTGAAATTTAATATATTTTATTTTAGTGATTTTTGTTTGTTTCTTTTTGTTTATCAAGCTGCAATTGCTATTTGAAAATTTGTAGTTATTTGTATTTGTTGTATTGTAGTTTTTACAAAGCGCAATAAACACGCGCCCATTTGCTGCAATTTCAACAAAGAATTTTGTTGTTGCACTTACTTTAAATTTATTTCAAGTGTTTTGAATTAAAAAAGTTGTATGCTTTAATTGGATTATTACAATACAATAAACGTATGTATGTATATAACTATGTATCTACTTGATTTATATTTAATATTAATAATTATTTGGTTATTTTTCAGACTTTTCAAAATTTTGTAAATTTGTTTTGTATTTTTGTTTTTGTTTTGTTTTTCCTTTCGTTTGAAAATTTTACTACTAACAATTTGTTTGAATTTTATTTAATTAACTTGCATTTATATTTGTATTTGTATTTATTTATTTCTATTCTCGTATTAATTAATATTTTTTTTGTTTATATTTAACTATAGATTTTTTTGTTGAATTGCGACTATTGCGTTTTGCGAAATATTTGTTGTTGTGAATTTTTGTACTTTTTGGTTTAAATTTGCTTTTGTCGGTTTGAGTATATGGATAGCGTTGTTTATATACATATATGGTAATATATATATATTTTTTTGATTTTTTTTTTAATTTTTTTTACAAAGGGATTTTATTTAAAAAATATAAGTTTAACTACACGCATTAAATTTGTTATTGTTTTTGCTCTTCCGTTCACTGCTACTTAATTTATTTGCTGGTTTCCATTTACTTTAGATTTATTTTAATTAAATTTAATTAATTAATTTCTTTTTTTTTTAATTTAATTTTATTTGTTTGTCTTCCACTGGTTTGTTTGTTTTGCTTTGCTTTGCTTTGCTTTACTCAATTGCTTTTCAAATACGTTATGCTTAAGATTGTGCTTACAAAATATTATTATTAATTTTTTAAAAATTCGAAAATTGTTAAAGTTGCATATGAAATTATTTTTATTTTTTTATTGTTAAACTCGCAGATGAAAATTTTAGAAATTTTCACTTTTTTTATAAATTATAATTATTTAATTTAATGCTTTCCCCTCGCGTTTTTGGTTTCGTTAGAACTTTTTCTTAAATGATAAATAAATTAACTTAGTTAACTAAGGACTAAATGAAATTTGGTTGCTTTTGATTGTTTTCTCAAGATTTTTCGCTTTTGTTTTCACTTGTTGGCGCAATTTTCGGTTCTGTAAAGAGAAGTAAAGAAAATATTTGATAAATTTCCTCATTTAAATTACACAAAAAATAAATGTAAATTAAAAATTGTGTATATAATAAAAAAAAGATTTGTAAAATTCTCATTTATATTGAAGAAACCATGAAAAGTAGTTTCGTTTCAAACGTGATATTGCATGGAGGGAAGACTTTTCTACAATCGGAGCTCTATACATATATGTATGTATGTTTGTACATAAAACTTAAAACAGTGCAAAAGCTGTTGCTATAAACTGTACACAACTCAGTAAAGGAACTGAGCCTGATACACACCGACCATAAATGCAAGGAAAATGAATGTGCAAGGAAAAGGGGTTTCGCGAGCAAAAACTTTGTACACCTGTGATCTTGCTGAAGCGCAACAGCAAAAAACACGTTTAAAATTCAAAAGGAAGTAACAACTCCAGCGAGACATTAAAAACGGCTTATTTATGTGACATACAAGCACAAGCACAAGCAAATGTCTTGCACTGCATACATACATACATACATACACACAACATTCACACAACAGCCTGCATGTCACTTCCACGTGTTAAATGAACCTATTGAAAGAAAAAAGGACGTAACCCCTCTTTCCTACGCAAAATACATTGACCTACATACATATGTGTGTGTAAACTACAAAACTATACCACACTGACACTGTTCGGCAGTCAATCAATTGGTGTTTTCGCCAATAGTGCTGATGGTGTTTTCTAGTCATGGTATGCTTTCCGAAAGGCAGTTACATCTCCATCTAAGCAATGCTATTAAGTTCAGTTAATATTAAAAAATCCTCTTATGACGTCACCGCTGCCGCATAACGAACTTTAACTTTCGAACTGTTATAATAAATGCGCAGCGAGCGGCGTGCATACGTTTTGTATGTATGTAAGTAATGCTTCCGGTATTCAAAGTACACTGATATGCAAAATATTATATATGCGCGTAGGTGTATTGCAGCGCCTGAATTTAAATATTACATTTTGGAAAAAAAAGTAATCCTCTGCAACAGTATAAAAATGTTGGTATAAAGGTTGCCACTTCTTTACACTGCTGCTATTGCTTACACAAAGAATAAAAGCCGCTATTCATTTCGAAAATTCAGTTAAATTTCGCTCTTTGAAACATTTTATGATGAAAAGTTACCGCTCTTGAGTAAAAAAAATAAAAACCTTTATACATGCGGGATGTAAATAATATTTAGTTTTTCTACTCATTCTTTGAAAAAAATATAATTCGCACTGCCGTTTTGAAATGTAAAATACATTCAAAGTGAACTGTAAACTCTCTTCGTTTACGCTAAAACAATGGAGTCGTTGTTATTGATGATTTTTTGCTACTTTTTCAGCACTCAAAAAAAAAAAAAAAAAAAAAACAATTAGGTCAACCGTATGAAAAATGGTGTAGCAAGAGTTATTTATATGTAGGTGAGGGTGTTACAGACAGAAAAAATGAAATAAAATATAAAAATGCATAATAATTAAAAACCAAAGAATAAAGTAAATAAAATGAAATTAAATAAAAAGCAAATAATATAAAATGAAATAAAATATGCTAAATTAAAATTAACTAAAATAAAAGAAAATAAAAATAAAAAATAAAGCACATAAAAATCAAGCAAAATAAAACGACATTGAATAAAAATCAATTAATATAAAATATAACCAAATAAAATAATAAAATAATATAAAATAAATTAAATTAATTTTAAAAAAATAAAAATAAAAATAATTGGTTGGTAATGGTGGTAAATACAACTATTAACTATAATTTAAATATACATTTTTTACCCTTCCTGCATAAACCTTGGCAGGGTGGTTAGATGTGCAAGCGTGCAATCATGAGCTATCAAATAAATCCAGAAATTATGCGCTCATAAAATATCACACGAGCTCACCATGTGGGAATGCAATACCTATGTACTTACATATGTACATATATCTAGAGGACAAAATAGCTATATTGTCAATTGAATGTATGTCACTGATACATATGTAGATTGAAATGAATACATACATATGTACAAACATATTCATGTAAATAAACACCTTTACGTTATACAATATAAATATATATTTTGGTTATGTATGTACATTTGTAGATACACGTATGTATGCATATACTGTTTGTTGATCTTCTACTTCAGTCCCCATTCTTTGCTATCTTATCAGCGCCTAAACAAATGCCAATGTGGACATTTAAGCTTCGTTAAAATCAACTACTTCACTTTTCAATTTAGCTAAAACGTATCATCATAAACCAGGTTGCAAGGCAATATGCCGTTAGCATTAATATGGACTTCAATTAAAAAAACGTTTGCTTTTCCGCTTTATGCTTTTACACTTTCGAGTGTTTCATTTTGTTTCTGTTATTTCTTTTTCTTTGAAAATACACCGTAAAAAAAGAGATATAGTTGAATCTTTCAGTTTTTCTCTCCTGTCTCCCGTGCGGGAAGAGCCCAAAGCAGCGATTCGTTTTACAGTTTCTTCTGATTTGAAATGTAAAAATGGTATTTAGCTGAATGCCAGAAGAGAGGTATTGTCGCATGCTACGGCGCTTTCTCTCTGATTTTTTCGGTTACGCTCTGGCATTTACTTTACACCCAAAACTTTATCAAATACTTGAGCGGACGCTATATCCTATTTGAGGATGCTATTCCAGCTCTGAGGCCGCTGCCAGGGAAAATTT